TCCGAAAGAGTCGACGAACCAAACATCAACTATAGTAACGATACACATTCCAGGTACTTGAACCAAACAAATGTATTGGAATGAATGACCTCATTCCAAACCCAAGATATCCAAATCCGTACCGATGTGGAATGAATGACCTCATTCCAAACCCAAGATATCCGATTCCGAATCCGAATCCAATTCCGATGTGCGAACCAAACGCCACCTAACTATATGTATCATACTGCAATTGGCATTGGTTAAGACAGAGGCCCGGGTTCCCATTTGAAGAACGAAACACGGCCCACTTTCAGCTGGTCTGCTTCTCCAAAAGCGTAACGTAGAGCATCCGATAAATACCACGCCTTCTTGCATAGCAGTAAAGCGGCGGATCAATGCGACGCCGTCCGGACTCGCCCATTTCTACAGACAACAGCCTACCCCGGCACCTTATCTTCTAAAGCTCAAATTCCACATTTTTCAGTGCAAAAGAAGAAAAAAGTATGGCTTCTTCTTCTTCTTCTTCGGACAATCCATTGTCAAAAGATACAATGTCGAAGGAAGAAGAAAGATTTGCAACGAAAAAATCCACCCCAAATTGTCTAACATTACTACCCTTTTCAGCTCCCCCGCATTTCAGGCAACCGGCTCCTCCACATTTGAAGCCAAACCTACAGTTACTAAAAGTAGCAGCGACCCACGTTGCCACTCAACTCCATGATTCCATTCTCATATCTGCTGATAAATTCCTCAGCATGCTGCATGGTTTAGCTTCGCAGAATCCCCTTCTCTGCAGACTTCTATCGTTTTCTTCTCATCTCCAAAGTTTCAGCTCCCAGGTATGTGTTCTGTATTTTTCTTCTGTTCTTTTTTCACATTGTAAATTTGTCCATAGAAGCATTTGAGTGTGGGAAACAATAACTGTTTATTGGCTTTCGTCATTGGGTTACTGGAGCAAAAGTTGAATAAAACCAAATGAAAAGATTCAAACTTTAGTCTGAATGGCCGGTTGGAAGGCAGGATTTTTGCAGGAGTATGAACATTTGTTTGTCAACAGCAGGAATATTTGATGTGGGTTGCTTTTGTTTTTCTTTTTTCCTTTTTTTTGTGTTTTATGTAGTTTACTTATTTGACATGCCTCAACTTTGGGATCATCACGGTGAAATCTGGTCGAAAATGTGCGTTCTTTGTTCTTGAAAATATGTGGATTAAGCATGATGGGGTAGATTGGTTGACTGAGATTTTAGGGCAGTGTAGATTATGCAAAATCGTATTACTTAGGATGGCTAGATGATGAAATTTATGGTGGGATTAAAATTTGGAATATCAGAAGGCTAAGAGAAAGTTGAGAAAGACACTAGTAAGTTTTTGTCTACATTACATTGAGATTCATCAGTCATTCTCGATACCCAAAAAGACAAAAAAAAGAGACTTTTCATCCCCCTTCTACCTGCCTGCCCCGCTTGCCCCTCCCATCATCCACTCCCTCCTCTCCTTTAATCCAAAAGTGTCTCCCCTCTCAGCAATACATTCCACATAGATCATTCCTCTTGAACATTTTTCTCTGACTTGTTCGATGAGGTTTTATTTTGATTAATGTTGTCATAGTCGTAACAAGTGATTCAAAGGACAAATTAATGAAAACACTGGAGAAAGAATAGTAGTCAGAGGATGAATGAATACAATGTTGAGAAGAAGAAGGATCTGAGAGGGATTTGTTGTGACTTCTTTATGCCTATGAAGCATGATTTCTTTGTTGTGCAATAGAAAAACCAACAGCCCTTAGTTTCTGGTATATAGTAGTAGTGTTAATAATCAGAGCTCAGAATGCAGCTCATATTGTTCTTATATTGTTGCCTCTTTGGCAAAGCCGAAAGAGAAAGACGGAAAATGAGAAGAAGGGTATGAAAAATTGAATCTGGAGAAGACAGAGGAAGCGATCAAAGTGTGCTTGTTTTAAGGAGAAGAGGATTTTGGTAGCATTGACTTCCCTAGTTTAGGAAGACAAATAGAAGGACCAATAATTAATGTAAATTGGATTAGAAACCTCTGTTATCTAATCCTTTATCAGTTGGATGGGAATGCAGACTGACTTATTTGTGTTCTGTGTCCAGGCATTAGCTGTATGATTTTAGCCTTAACATGTAACAAATGTCAAGGCTAAAAAGGAATCAGATGAACATTATTTTGTCTGACTAACAAGATACCTCTGCTTTCCCTCTTTGTACTGCTTGAAATATTGATTACTGGAGTAGATAGTTTGAACGACATATTTTAACAATAACAGCTTGTGCAGTTACTTGGTGTATAAAAAGTCCTGCTCCGAGATTCAGTCAAACACGTTTTAAAATATCTGTGTTTGTTATTAATGTTTTTGTGTTCTTTACCCCTTTCAGTGTATTGGAAAATGTCGTTGATAGTGGAGTATCTTTGTGGCCACTGAACTTATGCATCTGATTCTACTTTACCTTACAGATGCGGTGCAGAAACTATGGACATTTGGATGCCCGGTCCAACCATAACTTTGCAGCCGTCTTACTTGGCGATTCGGTTGCTGGAATTGTGGTTACTAATGGGATTCTGAATTTCCTGAACATCTATAATACATTATTAATTGTTAGGCTTGTTTTGACCTGGTTTCCTAATGCTCCTCCAGCTGTTGTTAGCCCCTTGAGGTTTGTCTTACTATTTTACTTCTTCTGAATGCTTTTAAACTTATTTCACTACACCAACGTGATATATTTGACATCATATTCTTGGTGCATCACATGTTGGATTATAAGTATTAAAAACAACCATGTCATAATCTGAATTCTTAAACTTCATGCCAGTATCTCTGGTAAATTTTTGTCGAAATATGGTACAATTTGTGCATGCCTGTGATTGCTTTTCCTTTGAGTTCATTATCTCTGGAAACTGATATGTGGCTTAATTCTGGACGAAAGAAAATCATTTGGCTCATATACGTGTACCATAACATAGATAAATTAACAACTTGAATGTTGATCTAGTCCTTGCTAGAGGTATCCAATATTTCATTTGCAGGACCATTGGAAGTGCGACAAGAAAATATTAAGTAGTTAAGGTTCATTAGTTGACTCAAAGGGTCTAACAAAATGTTGTCTTTTCTTCTTGACTTGTATAATGACAATAGTGAGCCCTTTTTTCCCCTTAAAATAACATCTATAAGCATTTGAAGCCCTTACGGGTGTGAACCATGTGAATTCTGCTGCAGAGGCAGATCATGAGATTTAATAATTACTGCTTAGTGATTTCTTCCCCTCTTGAACAAGGAGCAAAAATATCTTTGATCTGTAATGTGCAGAATGGCCTTCTTGTACTTTTCTGGTGTCTAATTACAAACTTTTTGTGGTACTATTGTATCCATCCAATTGTATGACAAAATGTGAATCATGCTTCTTGTGAACATTATAAATCAATTTGAGCATGTTGTCTCGACAATTGCTTATTTCTTTCAGCACCATATGCGATCCCTACTTGAACATATTTCGTGGGATTATTCCACCACTTGGAGGGACTCTGGACCTTTCACCTATATTAGCATTCCTTGTTCTGAATGCTTTTACCAGTACAGCTGCCGCACTTCCTGCTGAACTTCCCCCTACAGGAGTTTCTGAACGTCTGCCATCTCGCACAACAGTATCACCCTTTACGACATCACAGAAGAAATGGATCAGAAGACTTTCCAGTGTCAAGTCAAAAAACTCATCTGGTGAAAATTGAATCAATTCATTAGGCCTCAATTGATTCTGTCCTGTTACAAGAGGAGTCGTGCTGTAGGATACTTTGATTTTGCTTAATATTCATGTATAAGGTACAAGAAATCCTTGACTTTCACGCTCAGAAATGTAAATTTGCTTATATGCATCAGATTATTCTCTCCTGTGTTCATCATGCCACTTTGAGCTTCCAAAAACATTTACAATGATCTGGCAAACTGCCCAATTTCAACCTGTGCTAGGTCCTTTAGCTACAAGGAAGTACATTCTCTCACAATTTATTCTGACCACTTTTGAAAGCAATTCTTTCGCTACTTGATGGCTAATGGTGTCAAACTTGTGCTAGTGCTTATAACTCTGTAATACTTTGCCAAATATGTATGGTACCTTCTTTGGCCCTGTGATTGTGATTATTTCTGTAATTGTATGTATTTTGGTTGTTGACTAAAGATAGAGCAAACATGAAAGTGTTAGATAATAGCAATCGCAGAAATGTTATTATAGTAATAAAAAGGGAGGGTTATTATCCTTTTTAATTTCCATTTTGAGCATTTGTTCGTGTTCAGTTAGGTCTTCTGCATGCCCGGGATTCTTGAATGGCAAGAGAATCATCCCAAAACAACATAAATCAGAAAGCAATGCTAAAGATAGAATGTTGATAATGACTTCAGATTCCGTAATAGCTCATTAACTTTGAGTGTGCCCAACAGTTTCCCATATTTGGTACCACCCGCCCCGCCCCCCCCCTCCCGGCGGCGGCGGCCTGCGTGTAGGGCGGAAGATGGTTGATGGAACTAGGATATCAGTTGTTCCAAAAGTTGCGGTTTCCATCTCGAAGTGATCCACATTCCTACGCAAATGCTGAAACATTTGCCACTTAGGAACATGTCCACTTATAGCGCACAAGCCACCTTTGATCCTTATTCGTGCTATAAGAATCAGATTCCATGGCTGATTCCCCTGGAACATTAACATGTATAAACTACCATTGGAGAGTGCAGTCTCTTTCTGATGCCTCAGTCCAATCGCAAAAACTTTTTACTTACAAGTTTTTGTTACCTAATCTTCATAAAGAAAGTAATCTTACGTGCTGCAGCTATTCTCTGTAGTGCTGTGACAAGCAACACGAACACTTATTCAGCAAACTTATTTGGAACCGCTTAGATTTTGTCTATTCTAGATATACATCAAGAAAATGAAAAAAAAAAACTATAAATAACAAGGAAACCTTTAAAATAGGATATAACTTTAATTTGCTCAATTCATCCTATTCTGGCTATATAAAAAAGAATGACTTATCCTTTTCATTGTTGTTGTATCACTCTGGGAATGGATCCAATAGTCAAAAAGATTCTAAAAGGAGAAGACTTTGGGAAAAGAACGAAAACAGAGAGCTTAAAAGGAATCTAGAGAACAAGGGTTACGACCCTTTACGTCCCATAGAAAATCAGAGTTCCAAAACTGGTCTAATAAAGCTGGTTTCTCGTGAGGAAGGATTCCACAAGATGGACCAGGGAGCTACTTGGAGGAGTAGCAGGCCTTCTTCATACGATCAAAGGGTTATAGCAATATGCTTGGCACTTGCTGCTGTAATCTCACCTCTTTATATTGATAGGATAAAGGAAACGGAGCCAGAGCCTGAGGAGGAAACCATCAACATATCTTCGTATCTACCTCTGTTGCTTTTGATTCTGATCATGTCTATAGCTGTATCACGTTACTTGGACCGAAGTTTTACCAGTTTTGATCCTAACTGGATTCACAGAGTTTGTGGCTCTTCCACTGGGATCATCATTCTTCTGCTGATTCTCGCATCAGTTTTGAAGTTCAAATCTTCTTAATTTTATCTGAGCAGCTTAGAAGAGATCAGCAAATTTTATCTGTGGATGTAAGATGCTGACTTTTCTTACCACAATTTTAAGTTTGTTGAAATGCGCATTATGCTCTTCCTAACTGGATTCAGAGTTTGTGGCTCTTCCACTGGGGTCATCATTCTTCTGCTGATTGTCGCGTCAGTTTTGAAGACCTGAGCAGCTTAGAAGAGATTAGCAAAGTTTATCTATGGATGTAATGTGCTCATACTTCGTTCTTTTCCTACTAATTTTGCTTCCCAGTGGCTGTGATCATACCAGAATATCATGATCATATATTTTGGCCAGGTGCTGCATAACTTTTTGAAAAACAGCACCGTATTTTTTTGTACTACTGATTGCTTTAACTTTCTATGTTGACCTTATAGATTAGTTTTCTAACGTCTTTTTCTTTTCTTTTATCTTTTTGTCTCAAGAAAATAAATAGCCTTGCTTGTGCAGTTGTATGGTAGAGATAATTTGCAGCAAAAAAATGGCCAAAGCTTTATATAAATCAAACTGCTAGAAGGATTTTCCATCTTGGGTGTACCCTGGATCCTGTTCACTTTTAATGAATACTCGTTGGCTGGAGAATGTCATGGCTAGAGAGCAGCATAAACTTTCTAATGCATTTGGTAAAAGTGCACAGGGGGCTCCCATGGTCACCATTCTATTATCTTCAGGTAGAGCAAGAAATGAGTTGATGCTGCATAAGCATGCCGGTTTAACAGTGGTTGTGAATGCCACAGAAAGTGATACAAAGCAATAGTAGAATAGGCTAATTTCTCATGCTACCATGATTTTTTGGTGATTTACATTGCATCAGACAAAACTTTCAGCGGGTGAATAGCGCGACAGTGTTCCTGAAGATTCAAACAGTTGCATTTTCCAGTATTGGTGTCAACTGCAACCCGATAATCTGCACTTGTGTGTTTGAGTGCCCATTTACAAAAGATTTTGTGATCTGCAGAACCAATCAGATACAAAGAGATCAGTATTCTGATACCGGTCAAATTCTCCTGACCTCTGTTCTCTACAATGTGTCAGAATCTCAACAAAACTAATATCAGCGTGACAGGAACAAAGACCTAAGGGTTTGATGAACATTAAGCAGGGAAATATTAGAGCATCCGCCTGTTTAAATACAGAAAACATTGGTCCATGGGAACCTGAAACCTGAACTCTGAATTGGCAAAATCTCACAATTTGTGTGATTCAGCTTTTATGCTTTTACTGAAGCGTCAAGGTTTTTAGCAATCTACAACAATCACAGCCATATAAATATGACTAAACAGGAAAATAATTGTTTAATTTTTCCCACTCTCCTTTGCCTGTTGAAGGCTAAAAAACATGAAACGAGAGTTGGGCTGGCCCCCTAAAGGTAGAGTTTTGGAGTTTTTCGTTGGACATATGTAGAATGTATGGCTCATGTTTCACTGCAAGAATAGGTGGACTTGCCTACCCCAAAAGGTTCAATCTACTTTTCCATCATGAACATATAGTTACCTCCCCAACTAAGAACAAATTTTGCACAACTATATCAAATTTCCGTTCATTTAAGCTGATCAATGCCAATAGCTGCTGAAGAACACTAGATGCTATTCAACTTTCCAAGCGATGGGATAAGTGATTTGCAAACAACATAGGAGCTAATGGTAAACCCAGTCCAGAAAATCCAAGATAATTAAACTTGGTTTCTGGAGAAATTAGAGTCAAAAAGATCTTGAACCCAATAATGATAGCTAACATGCACCTCAACATAAGATATCCCAAATCATGAAAACAAGTAGATAAGGAAAGACTAGCAATCAGACATAGCAGATAAGGAACAAGGAAATACCTTCTACAAGTCTTCCATCAGATAATCATCAAAATGTCACAGCACAAAAATATTCCCAAAATATTCAAATCACAATTTCAAACCCATCAACAGGTGAATAGATGACAATAATTCAGTCAAAGGCCTCAAATTTCAAACTTGATGTTAAATACAAATATCCAACTTCTAAATTACTTCTCAATTGAGCAAATGAAAGGATTTCGATTTCATAGACACGGTCCTTAAAATTACATACATTGGTACAAAGACACAGTACATATTTGTTCATATGGAAGATAACAATGCTGATAATGCCACAGAAAATTTTACATATGTGTTTACATGGACAGAAACACAATAATACTCGTATTCCCAAGGCTGCGGATATTTCATGAAATGGTGGTGGCTCCAGGGTTGGCTGTTGTAGTGGAGATTTATAATGGATAAGGCATACCTCAACATGGATGTGGTGGGGAATAATTCACTAGTTTGTGGTGTTTCCCTAATTCACAATGTAAACATGCATAACTTAGACAGAGAGGGATGTCATAGGTGGGCACTTAACAACTGGTTGCGGTCAATTTGGCATGTGCTTGACTGGTGACTGATGACACTGATAATTCCTTAGTGTGCAATGGTGATCCCCAAACCTAGAAGGGATGGGAATTCCAACTTTTTCACGGAGGTAGAATCAGAAAGGCCTTTCTCAACTTAATTTTGCAAAAGTAAACAAAAGAAATAGAAAAGAAAAGTTGGTATTAATTCATTGTTCCATGTGATTCCAGAATGCCAAATGGGACCTACAGAACATACAGAAACATGACTTTTGTTTAGGACAACATTTTTGAAGAAAAGTTCAGCAGCAGTCATATGGCATACCTGTGTACAACCAAAGAGTTTGACCAACTTCAGTGACAGGCAGCTGTCAACAATCAATCCCAGTGCCTTATCCGTTAATTTGCGACACCATGACAAATCCAATACCAACAACTTTCTTGAACATTTGGCGAGCGAAAAGGCAGTGCAAGGGCCAACCTACCAAGCATCATGGCTCAGTTGTTTTAACTAAAGACAATAGGCCGAGAAAAAAGGTAAACAAACAAAAAGTAAAATCAAGAAAAGAGAACTTTCTCTACTAACACGAATTGCGTGTTTCCAAAAAACCTAAAATAACATATTCACTTGACAGCACAGTGTAATTCCCACCTACCAATGTCAAGAAAAGACTTTCGTGAGAACATGGACATAATCAAGTTCCCATGCCACTAGAGTTCTATACAGAAGAATGAGTACATTTTTGTATTTCATTTCTATCAATGGACCATGTAAAGCAGCACCTTAATCAACTCTACAGAATGCATATTGCTAATCAACTTTTGTCTTTCAGTGGTAAATCAATAACACTTCAGTAATATGTAATGACTAGAATCCAGCAGTCCTAAGCAAGTGTTGTCTCTCCCCATTTTATTGTCCAACATGTTGCTTTGGGAAATATACACAAGAATATGCCCTGAAACTACAAGGAAACTGACATAAAAATATTGAAGGTAAACTCTTGAGCATAATCTCGAGTAAAGGGCAGGAATATACAGAAGAGATAACATTAACATGATATCCATCACGCATTCCCAAAATGTGCCCAGAATTATTAAGATATTGCCAGGCTAGATTATATCTAGAACAAATGATCAAGGACCTAGGGAATCATAATCAGTCAAATACCAAATAGGCAAGACCAGGCTCATTCTAGATCATTGCTACCTATAGTAGAATCATAATTAGTAGAGAAGATAGCATGAAGTCAACTTTGTACCCTGCCATTATAACTAAACAAAATTTATGAACAACCAAAAAGGGAGACCTTTTATGTGCATTATGCAACTAAATGGATATCATAACCTATATTACCAAGTACAGCAAGTACAGAGTTTGATCAGATGATGCTTATACCGAAGTAACACTATTGAGACATAGTTCCTTCAAAGACTCTCCAGAAGCTTCCAAGAATGCCGCAATTGCTTCATCGCTAAAATGTAAAGAAATTCAGATCAGGAATTTGAATTTGAAAATAGAAAAAGAATTTCAGTTTAAAATAGGGGCATTTCTCTCTTTTTCTTTGGTTGAGATAGAAGTTGTAGGGCAATTTGTGGGCTAACACAATGTAACTAATAGAATATAAATTGTGCCTCTGTAATCCAGCTCCTAACCTCCTCACATCCCACTATTGTCAAAACACAAAAGCAAGGGAAATCCTACACCACACAAATATTGTTCAAAATCACATCTAAACGCTTGGAGAGGGTAGCTTAGGTAATTGTAACAGGATACATTATGCATTCTCCACAAACTGCATCTAGCTGACATGCCTTTCATTTACTAGGCGGAATGAAAACCTCCATTGGGACCAAGACAAGCTATAAATAAAAACATAGGATATAAGTTAATCTAGCCATTGTCAAGGAACAGGACATTAGACCTTTCCAACAGCTCCTGAGCTACCACCAGCAAAATATCAGTATCAACTGACAAAGGACATGTATGTTCCTCCGGAAATTCCTACTTTTCTACTTACCTCTTTGACATCCTTGTGTAATTACAGTCAAACCAGCATTTTATTGGCCAGAATTTCATGGAACAACTACACAACATTTTTGTCTATCTTTCTTTATTATTTTGTTTTTCTCCCTCCTGTAATTTGACATTCTTGCCATTGTAGTTTGAAAGTCACCAATGCAGATCTCCAAAGGAAGCAATGCCAACAATAAATCAGATTTTACAGTCCTTGGATCATTTCTATTGTATAACTAGTAATTGACTGATCTCACAAACCTGAATTTGTTGCGGCAAAGTTTAAGTGTTTGAATGTGCTGACAACCATCAGCAAGGAATTGTAATGCAAGATCTGTCAGTTTATCTAGGTTTGAAATGTTTAATGAATGTAAACCACTACAGGTATCTCCAATGGCTCTGAGGGAACCATTGGTCAAGCCCCTGCATCCAGAGAAAAGAAGATCAATAGTAGAGAAAAAGCCATCATATCAAAGGAAAGTACTTGAAATATAGCTTTAATTAGCAAGCGCAAAACAATGAATTTACTTACAGACAATTGGACAAATCAAGCTCCTTTAGAGTTTGCCCACATGTGTTAACTACGGCGTCAACAAATTGGTCAGACACAGTGTGAATTCCAGCAACAGACAAGACCTCCAAGTATGCAAACTTCCTCAATGCAGGTAGGATAAGCATTGCATCTATTTTCGGGCACTCATCAATATACAGCTCCCTCAACTTGGATCCCAAAGAATTGGCCAAGAAATTGATGCCAACATTGGTAAGAAGGGAGCAGTGGCTCAAATTTATAGACTCTAATTCAGGTGCAGAGTTGACAAATGCTTGTAGCCCATCGTTGGATAGACGACATGCACCCTTTAATGATAAGACACCTAGTTTGGGGAACCTCAAGCCAGCCAAAGTAAATGGACATTGCCCACATAATTCAAGTTCAAGTACCTGCTTTTACAACACACAGATTAACAGAAAGAGAGAGAGAGAGAGAGAGTTCAGTCCACCAGAACAGATATAGGAATATCAAAACATGAAAACAAAAGACCACTGAAACATGACACAGCATAAGTGAGGCTTATTGTAATTTTGAGGGAAGGACTTAGACAAGTTTTTCTTAGAAAAACCACCCTAAAAATTTCAAGCTTAACTCTAAAGTAGGGAAAATGAAGGCTAGTTAAACTCAAGGTCCTTCTAAAATGGTTAAAACAGTAAGAGGGTAAACCAGCATTATTCTTCTTTCCCCCTCCTGCCCTCCCCTCTCTAACATGAAGGAAAATAACTAAGATGATTAGTGCTTACAACCAAATAAAAATCAAAGTAAAAAAGACATGCAGAAAAATAAATATGATTGAGCCTCAGCCCTATAGCCAGCAAGATGACAAGCTCATGAACCAAGGACATGACAAATGCAAACAAGTATGAAAAGTAATGAATAAATAAAGAATGATGCAGTGGATTTTATTTTCCTTAATTTTCGACAAAGTTAGCATCCAATGACATTGAGAAACATGACAATCAGGGAGTTCATCATTAGACACAGGAAGTCATGAGAAGTCAACTAGAACCAAGAACGAGTACATTTATCAAGAAAAAACACAATCCTGAAGCTTGTTTTAAGAAGGTTAGTATCCCAAGTAACAAATTCCAAAAACGCACCTGGAGTACATAAACCATCTCAACAATATGAGGCATCAACAAACTCATTCAAAAGGAACTCTATAATCGCAGAGCATACAGAACCAGCAATTCAAAAGAATGCACTAATGTGATAGGACATCAAATACAAGATAACTAACCAGTAGTAGACTTACCTTCAAATTTTTAGCATCAAAATTTCCAAATGCCTCTGAAAAATGGCAATCTGTTAGCCATGAACAGTCCTTTATACGTATCTCCGTTGGAGATCCTTTAACAAAGAGTTCAAAAGTGTGAACATCCATTTTCCGGAGATTACAGATACAGTCAGCGAGCTTTCGCCTGAGGAAATCGGGAACAAGTTCAAGTGAAACTATAGCCTCAGCTTTTGCTGCAAGAGCTTTCAGGGAAAGATCCAGAAGTGAAGGAACAACGGGTCTAAATGAATTGCAGCCATTGTCAGATGGTTTCCAATCAATAAGTTGCCTGGATCGCCAGGACGTTCGGTCTCTAACCATCATCAGAGCGGTAGAAAAAGGACCAGGAGATTTTCCCAGTAGATCTTCAAGTGAAGGCTTTTCCTGACTAGAAGATACATCTCCATTCTCCGCCCACCGTGCAAATTTATGAGCATTTCTCCGGAGTTCACCGTGTCTCAGTATCTGCATCTCAATATCATATTCTGCATGTTTTCTACGCGCGAATTCTGAGCTCGACTCTGAGCCTTCCACTTGGTAACCATTCTCACTTGGGTGGTTAAACCTTTTCAAATCCTGGCTTCCTGGTTGATATTCAAACTGTATTGAATCCTGGCTTCTTGTTTGTAACTCCAACTGAGTTGGATTAGTTGCAAGTGACAACCAAGAATCAACAATTTTAGCTTTCCCTTTCTCTTCCCTGGTGTATCTCCGCCCATCACTCACATAACTATTTCCATCATAACTCCTGTCCATTAGTCCCAATCCAAAATCAATATTCTCAAGAAGCTCATTATTAGTTTCTTCCACAATGAGCTTCCCCTTTCCTTTGACGTCATGTGCAACAATCCCTATTCCCTCCTCATCCTCACTATCATCAGATGGAATGCAAATAATGTCAACCTTCCTATTTACAGCTTCAGGTACAAATTCATCATCCTCTGAATCGATCAACGCCACGTTAAGATCAAAGCCACACAATTCATCAGTGCAAGAAACTCCCCTTTCTTCCCCAGAACCCATTGCCTGATTCTCATTTCTTTCCTCCTCCTCAGTATCAATCCCATGAAAAACCTCCAGATTTCCATCAATCCCATCAAAGATCCTAACTTTCTTCCCCGTCCAATCTCCCCCATCACTTTCCCCACTTAACCTCTTCTTTCCACTAGAACTCTCCCTACTATTTTCACCTTGACTCGGAGGCCCCATATCACCCCAATTACCACACAATTTCAAATAAATCCCAGCACCCAAAAGCCCCAAACAATAAAAAATTCAGGGGCTTTAAAAAAAACCCAGAAAAAATTAAATTCTGGGGATCAATCAGCGGGTCACAGAAGAAAAGAAACTTTCTTGTTTCAAGAAAGAGAGAAGAAAAAAGAAATGAGCTTTCCCCCGAAAAAAGATCACACAAAGAGAAGCAGGACGGTCATGTAAGAAAGATGATTAGCAATGAATGAAACAACTGATGATAACGAAAAGTAGATGTTGTGGTGGCCTTGTGTACAAAGGGCTTTGCATGGGCAATTAAGGAAGAAAGTTATTAAAAAGAAAGTTGTTGGGATTACAGAAATAGTACCAAGAATATTATTAAAAAAGAGATGTAGAGAATCAGAAATTGATGATAACTTCTTCATTGGCGAAGACTTCTGAGACTTGAGACGTTGAATTATAGCAAGAGATCAAAAGAGAAAGCGAGAAAGTGCCGAGTAATTTGGCAGTGGAAAGCTGAGAGCTTTCCCACACACACACTGAAGAAGTGGTTGGTTCGCCCTTTTTCTTTTTTCTTTTAAGCCTTTTGCGTGGACCTTTTGGGGAAGCCTATTTATAGCTTTGCCCCTTCCCACTGCACATATCTAAATGCTAGTAACAAATAGTATAAACTACTGGGAGAGTAATTTTTACTCTTTATCAATTTGTTTGTCAAATTGCCATCATGCACTAGCTGAATCTCAGAAAGGGGATCTAAAACATTTTTGTGCTGTTTAGAGTCTAGGAATTGGAGTCTTGCCAAATGGGCTCTAAGTTATTGGTTACAATGGCACAAATCTCTTGTCTTTCTGTTTCCTTCATTAAGATTTTTTTACCAATTCAGTAGTATTGAGGGCTTGACTCCTATGTATTTGTTTGCTTCATAAATAAATGCGGAGGCAAAGTGAAGTTGGAAATTGGAATGTCATTAAATTCCACCAAAGTAAATAATTCATGTGCAATTAATTATTGGTTTGGCTAAGGGATGACTGTATTGGACACTTAATAAGAGGGAGTTTAGGTGTTACTTTTTTTTAATTAATTCCATAAAGTGTATTTATATGGTAATTTAAGTGTCTTAACGAGTACTAATTGTACACTGATTAGAAAAATCCTATAACTGTTATCTTTCTTAGCTTTAATTTTTTTCCATAAATTAATAAAGTGCATAATTATTACATTAATAAAGTTGGTATTCACAAGGACTATTATGAAGTCATAAACAGACTGTAGAAAATGATTCAAATGCACTGCACATTTTGATTTGCAGACTCTTCTTTTTGTACTCTTTTTTGTAGGGTTAAAAGACCAAAAACACCCATGAGTTCTAGCATTTCAAGTTTTCATACCAAACCAAAGAACTTTTTAGCTTAACAAACATAAAAGGCAGTCGTGTTTTCAGGGAAAAATGTCACTGTGGGAACACAAAAGCCTCTCAAATGTATGAAAAAAAATAAGGATTAATCTTCTATATATTGATAGTGTATACATTTTTATCATTGGTTGTATGACACAAATTCAAATTTGAATTTGAAATCCAAATTTTACATATGTGTCATTGGTTGTATGACACAAATTCAAATTTGAATTTGAAATCCAAATTTTGCATATGTGTCATGCATTCAGCCGTGACAGTGTAGTTTATACACTGTCAGTATATATAAAATTTACTGAAAAAATAATAGATGTCATGATTTCATGTTAATCTCTTCTGCCTGTTAACAGATGCACAGTTGCCATTAGTAGATAAAGACGCTAAAGCAATCACCAAACATCCATTTTTCGGGAACCACTTTGAAATTCAGTATTACAAACTGAAGCATTATTGTACTATAAAATTTTCACTATAAAAGAATGACAGCAAAACTGATAACGGCCCAGATGTCCCAGTTGCTGCAAAATGCTAGTAATCTGTTATCTTTGGCATAACCAAATGTACATTACGCTCTTTCCTAAAACATAAATTTTGGCACAAAGAATGAAAAAGTTTGGAAAAAGAATGCAATAAAGCCCTGCATTTGTATCCGATATTGCTCCCTCTATCTCTTATTTTCTTTTCATTGAAAACTCAGTCTTCTCTTCTTCAGAACTGGTTCGGAAGAACCAGAGTTTTTTCTGTCTGTGTCATCAGATAAAAATTTGAGAGGCGAATACTCCAAAAAGTCTTCTGAAGACTCGAAGTGGCTCACGATATCCTGTGATGATGTCGACTGCAACCCAACGATATGCACCATGGGGTTTGTGTGGCGATTGAGAAATACATCTGTTATCTGCAGAATCAGCATAGATACAAGCAGCAATATCAGAACTCTGATACCCATCAATTTTTCCTCCATAAAATGTATCAGAATCTCAGAAAAGCACATGTAGCGATTTTAGGTTTTAAGAGAACATAAAGCACAGACATAGTCAAGCATGCATGTGGCTGTTTCATTAAATCCACAGGCTGATTAAACTTTTTGCATTGGCAAACCTTGCCTCTTCTGCAGCTGGCCTTAATGCCTGTACTAAAATCTCAAATATCTGGGTGAAGTTTAGGCTGATGGACTATACTAAGAGTCTATGAAAGTATCAGATGGTTATTCTTGTGGTGTTCTCCGTTTACCTCTTTAAAGTGAAGAGATATTCGCCAGCATTTTAGGGTAGAGGCTTGAGGTTTTTATTTGAAACTAGCTAGCCACTAACTCTTTTCTCAGGAACAATTTTGCAGCATGCTTAATCTTCTCTACTGGAAGAAATACATTATGTTACTGGACTTAGACCCCTCAAAATTTTATACTAAAGAAAGATTGCAATGACATGAAAGATAAATCACTGCTGAAGCAACAACCAGAAGGGATATATCTCTCGTCATTGAACTAGTAGACATATTTGCCTACACTGTAAGGACAACCACTAAAAATAAGTCATTTCTCATAAGATGGACTAGTTTCTTCTCAGCTAGAACAAGGAAGCGGATGGGCAAAATTATAAATGGTCAAATCAGATTTAACTAATTCGAGTGCAGATAATTACTTGTGCAGCAAAGAAAACAAAGGCTAGCAGTTGATACATCTATGGAGTAAGTGAAAAACTTCTAAACACCTTCCATCAGATGATCAATTTAAACACTTCGAAAAACTGAGTGCAAACAAATATGCCTAAAGAAACACCAGATTGCCTATAGTAAAAGAAAAGGGGGAGTCCTGACCTTTTATAGAAGAAGGTTGAAGAAAGGCCTTTCTCAATTCAATATCATAAATCAAAGAAAGAAAAGGCGAAAAAAGAAGTTGGAACAACTTTATTCTTCAGTTTGGCCTAAAGAAGTGCAAGAACATAATTTCATCTTTTAGGGGGTTTTTTAGTCATATGCAAATTCAGCAGCAGTAAGACGGGAATACCTGCGTACAGCAGAAGAGTTTCAACAGCTTCAGTGACTTGCAACTGTCAACAATCAATCCCAGTGCCTGATCTGTTATTTTCTTGCACCCAGATAAATCCAAACTCAACAAATTTGTTGAATATTTGGCAATGGAATAGGCAGTTTGGGAGCCAACCTGTGAAGCATCGCAAGCTCTGTTGCTTTAATGGCAATAAAGTAAGCTGAGAAAAACAGGTAACAGGAGAAACCAGAAAATGAAAGGAAGACAAAGTTTTACCAGTAAAACCCTGTGTCATGTTTCTCAGAGACCTAGAATTTCAATAGCATTTCTTTACTTAATATTGCAGTCCCATCTCCCAACAGTTTGCAGAAGGATCTTTGAGTTGAGATGAGCATAATCAAATCACAATCCAATTTGTAAGCTTGGAAGCAGAATAAGGGTACATCTTTTGAAATGTTTTATCATATTGCTTGTAAACTTTTTCTTGAAAGAGAAAAAACAATTTTTATGTCAAGCAATGACTAGTACCCTATGTACAATATTTATCTCCTTTCCACATTTCATGGTCTAAGTATTCTAATGTGCACAAGAAGAAAAATGTCAGGAAAATACAGTGAACCAGAGTCTCTTAATCATTCTTAATCGTCAGTTTTCTCACAAGAAGTTAGCTTTGCACCAGCTACCAATCATATGAAACTTTGGGGGAAACCCCCAACTGATATTTCAGGCCTAAGCATTCTATTGTGCATTGTATGCACAACTAACTATGTATCAATATCATCATGTGTTCCCAGATAAAGATATGTCAGGCCTAAGCAAGAACAGCATATGTCACAGAATACTCATACCTCCTTAACATGGTTGAGAGAAAGTTCCTTCAAAGACTGTCCAGAAGCTTCCAAAAATGCAGCAATTGTGTCATCACTAAAATGAAAAAATTATATCAGATTAGAATTTAAGGTTGAAAAAAGAAAGAAACCATAGTACATTTTGTTTTCTAGAGAGAGAGAGAGAGGAACCAAATACAAATAACAACACAGTTTTCTACCTCAGTACCCTCTTCGCACAGTCACAGACCAGCTTATCAGAATAACTGAAGCACGCATTCGGGAAAAGCGACACAGGTTTTCAAGAAAGTGCAAGTTATTATGACTACAAAGTAAAGCTTGCTGAAACATTCTGTTCATCCATCCAAACAAATATAGTGAAAGTTATAGTTGGCAGTGCAAAATCTCCATAAAGAATCAGTGTCAACTTTAAATTAACAATCCCTTTGATCAAATTAGTGTGTAAAGTAACAAATGTACAATATAACAACAACAACGTTATAAAACTAATCTCAGGAACCTGAATCTAACAACAACAACGTTAAAAACTAATCTCAGAAACCTGAATCTATTGGCGCAAAGTTTAAGTGTTTCAATTCGTCTACAACCATCACCAAGATATTCCAATCCCATATTTGGCAGTCCAACCAAGTTTGATAGGTTTAATGACAGTAAGCCCCTGCTGTAATGCGCAATGTGTTGGAGAGCATACTTGGTCAAACTCCTGCATGCCACAAAAAATCAGAAGACAATAAGTGGACAAAATAAGACGTCATATTCATGAGCTAGCGTTGATTAACAAGAAGATCTGAAAATGACTTACGGACAATCAGCAAAATCAAGCTTCTTTATGTTATGCCCAAGTGCACATAATATGTAACTAACAAATCTGTCGCAGACTGCGTAAATTCCAGCAACTGACAACGCTTCCAAATGCTCCAACTCCATCAATGAAAGATGCACATCCATTGCATCTATTTTTGGGCAGTAGCTGATGTTGAGCTCCCTCAGTGTTGATTTTAAAGAATTGGCCAAAATTTTGATACCAACGTTGGTTAGAAGGGCGCAATGGCTCAAATTTACAGAGCTTAGTGCAGGTGCTGACATGACAAGTGCTTTTAGCCCAGTAGGGGATAATTGACATGCTCCTTCTAGAGATATGACACGAAGACTGGGCAAGCTATTTGAATACCAAGCTAAAGCTTTCTTTATTACCGTATCAGCTGCAAATTGCGTGCATTGTTCAAGTTGAAGCACCTGCTTCCACAACAAAGCCATACACAAAAATAGGAAATCAAAAGTAAAAAAGGGAGCTTAATTACTTCGCCAGACATCAGTTCTACATGTATCAAAAGGAAGAAGTTGGACAAGTTTAAGTTTTTTACCTGAAAGCACCAAGACATGATTATTGAGATTAATTGCAAACTAACAAAAAGGCAAAGCTTTATGAATTCAAATTCCAAGATGAATAGTTAAAAACACCAAGAAAAGAAATCAAATATCCTTCCAGATGCATAAATCACCCTTTTTTTTTGTCAGATAAAAAAGGCAAGCTCAGGATATCAGAAATAAAAATCATAGTGGACCAAAATTACAATACCTAAATCATTTACAAATTAATAACCATGATTTAAAAAGAAAATTCAGTGGATTTTTTTTCTTGTTATTGTCTATGATTCGGGAAATCAAGAAAGTAGCATTCAATATTACGTTCAGCAACTAACTCAGCAGAAGCTTAGTAAATAGGGGTTTCTTGAATTGGTGAAGAAAGTTTCTAGCTCAAACCAATAATAATAAGATATATGATAAAAGGAAGACTTAATTACTTTCAAACTTTTTGGATCATTGAGATTCCTAAGAGTCTTCAAAACCTGGTCCCCTGTCAACAGAGAACAGTCCTTTACACGTATCTCTCTTTGGTATGTCCCAACAAAAAGTTCAAAAATGCGAATATCCATTTTCCGGAGATTGCAGATCATGTAACCGAGTCTTCTTCCGAGGGAATCAGGAGCATATCCAAGTGACATTATATGCCCAGCATTTTGTGCAAGAGCTTGCAAGGAAAGATACTCAAGTGAAGGTACAGGACGTAGCCTACTTCTTGATGCATCATTCGACCCTTCCCATTGAATCAGTTCCTCTCCGTCAGCTAGCCGGGAAATTCTGTCTCTGACCCTCAATAGTGCACCAAAAAAAGGACCATAAAAGATAAGCTCCTTCTCCTCCATATTATTCAGCCCAAAGTGCCTCAAGAATTTCAAGAAACAGATTAAGAGCGCCGCCCAATCTGCCAAAGTTCAAAGGGCCAGCCTAGCCAGCTAATTTTTAGAGAATTTGACGAAAAAGAATTCAGGGCTTTACTCGGCGGGTTATGGATGAAAGAAAGAAAGAAATTCGTTGTTTTCTTCACGAAAGAGAGACTTAGAGAAGAATGAACTTTTTCCGGAAATTTGCAGACCGAACTAGAAGAAGAATATGCAAAATAACAGGCAGAGAATCAAAAGGGTGAGGTCATGCAAGAAAGATAGCAAGAAATGAATGGGAGCTGATGATAATTGTTTTTATGGGAGTGAATAATTCTTAGACAGGAATTGGATTGTTTGCGACAGAAGAGAGGCTGCTGCAGAAGAGTGAGAAACCGTTAGAATCTTGGCGGTTGAAGCTGCAACTGCTGGTTCCCTCCTTTTTTTTTTTTCCTTTATTTTCAATTTAATTACATTCACGTCCCTTGAGTTGTGTTATTTCTGTGTCCCTACTCGACATATTTGATATTGAATCCCTGATAATCAGTGCTACTTTCAATTGAGTCCATAACATTGATATATCAACTTTTTAACACGTCTAGCCTAATCCCTAACTTGTCAATAGGGATTGAATGCAATCCAAAAGTTAAAAAATTTCTTGTTTATCGCGTGATGATAAAGTTTCAACTTTCAATCCTCCTCTTGGTTTGCTTTTCCTCCTCCCCTGTTCTTGCTTCCCCCTCTTTGTACCCAAGTAGGAAAAAAATTGGAAGTACTGAAAAGAGGGACAACAAGAATTCTAGTACTGAAAATGAGGGATTAAAACTGTAGTTTGCCTAAAAGAATAAATGAGCCATTGATGAGCAATGTGTGAAAAGTTTATCAACAATGATTTCGCTTGTTTACAATCAAAATTGAAAGAATCAGCTTCGGCATCTAGAAGAAATATGCCTAATATGCAAGCCATAAAAAACAAGTAACAAAAGAGGGCTAAGTGATGCCTAAAAAAAGGTTCATTCAATCATTCAATCATCAAACTCCTAAGCTGGAAAGCGAAAAGATCAAAGCTCCAACTGCTACTGAAACCAGTATAGGGATTTTGAACAAAGCATTGGCACCATTGCACTGATCATTTGCACCACTAAAGCATCCAGGCCTGCTTATCTTGGCCACACCTCCCTCCAAGACAAAGCTGCTGTTTGATGTGCCATTGCTAAAGAGCACACACCAGAAGTAGGGAGAACCACCATCTGAACCACTTACAGCAGCACCAACCTCTGTGTGATTTTTACTGTACAGTATCTCCAAGCTCTTACTGTTTTTCATTAGAATCCCAGAGAATGCTTCATCAGGCTTCACATACTTGGTCTCACACCCCAGTAAACGGCCAGTAATTGGTCCAAGAGTCTTAACCTCCACCCCACAGTTTGGTGCAAATGTCTCAGCAAATTCTCCCTCAGCAGGTTTCTTAGCATTTGGCCCTCCAACTTCATCGCAATCACCTTGGTATGCTTTTACGTATTGCAAAGCTACACATGCCAAGCCTGGGTTGCTGTAAAGTGTGGACGATTTATGTGCCGTCCGATTGCTATTTAATGCAGCCACTAACTGATCAGCAGGATTGTCAGTAACTTTATCTGCATTTCCATTAAGAAATTAACAACTTAGCCAGGATGAGCTTCGTTACTTAATTCATTAGACGACAGCAAACAGCTATGTGCTTAAATTTTTTATTTTTTTTTTATAATGAAGGATGGTCTTGTTGGCACAAAATCACCAGCAAAAGCACAAAGGCAACTTTTGAACTATTCACTGCATTTCAACATGTCAAATTGCTGGATTCATGTTGCAATCTAAAGAGATAATGAAGAAATCAATTGCAACGCTGAGTCCGAGGACAGAAAGCCAAAAACTAGCATTGCTGGCAATGAGTGCTCTATCACAAGTTTCTCCAAACATTATCATCCTTCAACCGAGATGCCATTATCTTGTTTTGTAACGTATGAAGAATTAAATACAAGACATAAACAATCAAACGTAGTGCTGGATCTAATTAGAAGTCAGTTGACATACTTGATTCCCAGAATTAATATCACTAGTTTACTCCTTCCACCACCACCTCTCCACTGAGACGATGTACCTTTGGGCTTTGATTGCATGGACATATTCAAGATGTGCTCCATCGTTGATAATTACAAGAACATTTTCGGCAAAACACCCAAATTTGAGCAAGCAAGAACTGAAGAACATTTTCTAGTTCTAAAAGAGGGAAAAGCATAGGGAGAGAGATTAAGATCTCTTCTAAAGTCTTGCAGTATACAGCTTAACATTATCCCCGCCTGATACTATGGAAGTCAACCTAGAAGTCCGGTGAACTCAAAAAATGTGAAGACTACAATTTTCGTTTGGCTAGTAACACTGAACTTTGAAAATAAGAAGATGAAAGCTGTAAAAGATCTCCAAATAGTTGATAAGATCTAACTCTTCAATGAGATCCAAAAACAAAAAAAGGGAAGTTCACAAATGCGCCAATCAGTTGCCAATTCTCATTGAAAGTTGCAAAAAAAGAGATTGCAAAACATTAAGCTTAAGTACCATTTAATCCAACTACAATTTCGGACCACAGTCAAGATTTATCTAACTACTTTATCAACTGCCTTTGAACCAAACCTGAAAAGGCAGATCCAACAAACAAATAAACTAGGCAGGTCCACATACATTTAATTGTATACAGTCATAAATGTAAAGTTTCCAACTTTCAAATCCATTATTTAGCACATTGCAGAGATGCAGAGCACAAATTACTAAAAATCAAAGCTTTCTTGGAGGCAAGGAAATCAGCAAGAAATAAGCAGTAAGGAGTAAGATAAAGAAGCAGATTTACTCTGAAGAGTAGCAGCTTCAGCTGAAATGAAGAAAATGCAGCAGCCCAGCAACAGCCACGTTTGAGTTGCCATCTATCAGAAGAAGAATCAAGAATCCAGTCTGTTTCTTGATCAAAACTTGGAAGAAAGAGTGGAGTTGGTTCTCAGTTTATATGTCAGACTGGATCTAACGATTCCATCGAGAAGTCGGTACGCTTTCATTTCAACCGACAATTCACGGATATGAAAAGACGGTATCGCCCAAGAGAATGATTTGAAACTTCGGGATAATTTCAGAAAACCTCCCCTGAGGTTTCTAACAATGTCAATGAGCTCCCCTAACGTTTTAGAAATTATGCTTAGATCCCTTATTCATTTAAAATGATAATACTATCCTTAACATTTTAATAAAACTCTCCTATTGGGTATGCTTATATAAAATGGGTTTTATAACTCAGAATGAAATTGCTCAAAACTACTACCAAACTATAATATTTTCACCAATCTTAAAATCTACAAACTCTAAAAGAATTATGGCGATACTTTCTTCTCCGACCTTAAAAGAATATATATCCACAATAAAGTACCATAAAAAGTATTCTATCATAGTGATAGAACTATTATTGTTACTTATCAAACAATAAATGAGTATTAGAAACTTGACACTCTTCCCTTGCATTTGTGTTAGAAAATTGACACTTTTCCCTTACATTCGTGTTAAATTATTTTACAATGGTTTGGTATAAGTAATTTAAACTTTATAAACTAAGGGCATTTTAGGATTTTTATTTAAATTTTTTAGCAAATCTAAGGTTTGGTTACCAAGAGTGCCATCTCAACGGAGGTAAGCGTAATATTTAAAGTCTCAAAAAAAAATTTATGATTTGTTTGATAACATAAAAAAGTGCTGAAACTTAGCCTTTTCAGACATTCAGAAGTTATTGATGTTTGATAAAGAAAAATTCATATGCTGAATTTGTTAAGACGTGCTGAATTTGTATGTATTTTTTTCAACACAATAATCGTAATTGAATGCTAATTTTGATTAAAATCAACAAATTTTCTTCAACCATCTTATTTTATCTACCAAATCTACCCTTGTTGATTAACTATGTTCAAAATCATTATCTTATTAAATAACCTGATATTCTCTATCTAACGGCTTTATACTTCTTTTTTCTTCCTATTTAATGATTTTTATAGCTTCTTCATACTCCTCACATTTTTTTACTTTATCATATTGCTTTTCATCATTCTACTCATTCATAATTTTCATTTTTTTCCTCTCAATTTTTTTATGTATTGCTATTGTACTCATCGATTTCAAATTTGTTTTTTCCATAATATATTTCATCTTTGTCATTTACATACCTAACAATTTAAGCTAATTAAATCATAAGTTCTATTTCTTTTTTGGATGAAAATGCGAGGCAAAATTGTACAATTCAACTTATTAAGCATTTAGTTATAGATATTTATCAAATAGTATAAATAGGTTCAGCATTAAGATTCAGTTATTCATATATTTATTTTTAGTACTTAAAATTCAGCAAATTAACTGTTTCAATATTCAGATTCCGTTTTATTGAGTAGAACTTGAGTGAAATTGTCATAAAACCTAGGGAAGGTTTCTAAAACTATCCCTTGAAACTTTCGGTGGTTGCTTTATTTCTGAGGGTAACCACGGAACTTCAGATAAATACTGCCAGCAAATTCCAGGGGGCTTATAGAAACGGCCAAAATGAAAATGAAAGTGAAAGAGTCACGTTTATATCAAAGGCGTGCTCTATGGAAAAGTAAATAATGGGAAGGCGTTGTTGGGATGTCGTTTTCAGCAGCCTATTCACTTGTCTCAGGTGGGGATTGAAAAATGCAAATAGGCGATTTTAACTATGAAATCCTAGTCGATTGATTTGATATTTATTAAGCAAATTACAGGGGATGATATTTAATTTTGCACAAATATTATTTATACAGGGTATATATATCGGAAACTATGGTAGCAAAAATTAGATTTTCAAGTAATAGACCCATGATTTTAGTTTAAGGGGTGAATCATCAATGATGTAATAATAAAAAATCTGATAGCAAATAAAGCATACTAAATATAAAATAAAAGTT